GACATCTACATAGCAAACCACTAACCAGCTCTTGTCCACCATTAGCGTCCACTTGTTAGCCATCTCACAATTTGAGGCCCCTACAGACTCAATTACCTTCATTTTGTTACTTTTCTAAAATTGTGCTGCTCTGTTACGGATGTTTAAGAGGGAGCTCTGAGCCACTGCTGAGATGGACTCATTTCCCATATGCACATGAGGTACACACGTCACTACGCTGACTGCTTTGGTTTTCTGCACTGGACCTGTTATGGAGACCTGGCCAAAAATTCAGAATGGCAGGAGGAAAATTATTTTTTCCTTCTCTACTGTAGGAAACTGAGTCAAGCACATTATTTCATGGAATGCTCTAAGCTTAGCCTGGCGAATAACCTACTGTGATCTTTGCACTGTGTTCAAATGACAGTAATAGAACAGCCTCCTGGGAGGCTCTCAGTGCTGCCAGGCCATGGGTCACTTTGTCTCAGTTCTCTGGCTTGCCTAGCATCTCTTTCCTGTTGAAGGAGCTAAAGGAAAATGGGAGGTAGGACTTCCTGGAGGCTCCTTCTGGTTTTATTGTTTTGGGAGCTCATACATTTTCCTCCTTTTTAAAAAACTGTTATAAAGGAGTTACAATTACTTAAGCCAGGTAAACAGTATCTTTCTCTTTCCTTCCTTCCTTCCTTTTCCTTTCTCTTCTCTCTCTCTCTCCTTCCTTTTTTTTTTTTTTGTCAGTTGTAGGGCTTGAACTCTGGGCTTGGGTGCTGTCCTTGAGCTTTCCAGCTGAAGGCTAGTCCTCTACCACTTAAGCCAAAGCATCCCTTCTAGTTTTCTGGTGGTTTATTGAAGATAATAGTCTCAGGGACTTTCCTGCCTGGGCTGGCTTTGAACTGTGATCCTCAGATCTCAGCCTTCTGAGTAGCTAGGATCACAGGCATGAGTCACTGGCACCCAGCAACAGTCCATTTCTTTTTGGACAATGTCTCCCCTTCTCCTGAGGAGTCTTTGGATGCTCTCTGAAGAGGAGTATCTCAACCAGGGGAAATTCTGATCATTTTGAGAAGGACCCAAGATCCTCTCCTTTTTGTTTTTTGGTCAGTCCTGGGCCTTGAACTCAGGGCCTAGGTGCTGTCCCTGAACTTCTTTTGCTCAAGGCTAGCACTCTTCCACTTGAGCCACAGCACCACTTCTGGCTTTTTTTTCTGAGTAGTTCATTGGAGATGAGAGTCTCACGGACTTTTCTACCTGGGCTGGCTTCAAACTGTGATCCTCAAATCTCAGCTTCCTGAGTAGCTAGAATTACAGTTGTAAACTTACACTGGCACCCAGCTCAAGATCCTCTCCTCCTTAACTAGATTCTTCTGCCAGGATGCTAAGCCCTGGACACCACAGCTAAGGGGGGTGGGAGCTGCTTGGATGAAGGGCCAAGGTCAAAAGGCACTTTCAGGACCTGCTCCTGGGATTTGACTTCTGTGCAGAAAACATGCTCTTTTTGTGCTTGTTGATCTTCTGAAGATCTCCAAGCACTGTGACTGGTGTAGGCAGCAGCCTGCCCTGGAATAGGGCTTGATGGACCATCTCCTCTAGAAGCTTCTGTGGGCATACTGAAAACTCTTCCCAGAACAGAACTGCCAAAGAGGGGAGTCTTTTTCCTGTCTGATTTAGTGGAAAAGCCTAAGCCATACCCAGAATGGAACTAGAACCAAAGAAATCTCTCCCATTGCATCCAGGGCAGTCACGGAAGCAGCACAGGGTGAGCAGAGAACCTGTTCCTAGGTCAAAGTTTCTTTCATAAGTATCTGAAGCCTGGCTCCTTAAAGCCAAGCCTTGTACCGGCAGTAGGCTTTCTTCAGCCTCCAGTTCCACCCTACAGGCTATAGAGCCAAATCTGGCACCAGGAAAGCATACTAGGAATATCTCCACCTTCTTCCCAGACACCAGAGAGGATCACCCAGGACTTGAGGGTATTCTTCCAGCCCAGGCATAATGGTAGCTGAGATCCCAAGGAAGGGGCAATTTTCTTTCTCCTTGTGCCTATCAGAGGCTATGTGCTCATAATGCTAATGGTGGGGTTAATGTCCTCCCAAGAACCTGTCTTAGCAATGACTCCACAGTGGGGACAGTTTCCCCTTATGTTCCTTTCTCTAAATAATTCTCTAAGGATGCACTAAGCCCCAGACTGAGACAACTGATGTGTCTCTCATTCTCTATTTTCAACAACAGCAACAAAAAACCGCAGAATATTTTGTATATATACCAAGCTCTCTGACTAGTTGATGTCTTGATCATGTTTAAAAGAAGGCTTAAGATTGTATCTTTTTATTCCCAGTGCTGTGATTGATTAGTAATGTCTGTCAGTGGAGAGGGACTGGAAAACAATTGTGTGTGTTGTCTCTTGCTTTCTTCTTATTGCAGACTTCCACATGCACATCTCATTTGATTAAAACAATACAATGGCCTGGGAGCGCTGAAGATTATTATCTATTTTCAAAAGGAGCCTAGAAGTTACCCACATAAATCAGTCACCCAAGTAAATCAAGGCCAGAGTCAGGATTAGATCCCAGGCCAGTTAAGGGAAGACACACAGACTGGGGAACACTTGAGATGAACATGCCAAAATGTTCACATATCTTTGGGAAAATATGTTTAGTAAATCTTCCCTAGGACTGCAATTTGTTATTCTTTATGCGTATGTGTGGGATGTTGGCAGGAACAAACGGAGTAGAAAGGGAGTAGGCTGCCCACACAGAAGCTGACTGCCCCTCTGGTTGCTGGGAACTTTAAAAAGTGGGCAGGCCTGGCAATGCCTTGTTCCAATTTCATCAAATCAGCACGGCACCCCAGGAAGAGAAAAGGGACCATTTCAGTAACATCTGCAGGAGCCACTCTGGACAGCTATTCAGTTACCATGGAAACACACTGTTGGAAACTGCTTCCATTTCAAGAAAATAGCTACAAACAGTAATAAGCATAAATGAAAAATGGTACACTTTTACTTCAAAATTGTACTTGTTATTGGATTTTTCCAGGTTTTAGGGGCTCAGACGGCAGGCTCATATCCTTGAACGCAGTGGAAGGCAGACATCTCTGCCTGGCTCCAGGCCTAATGCCAGTCCACATCCTCCCTCCTGCTTCTATAATCAGTTTCTGGATGAGATCTCTGGCAAGGCATTTATCAGAGATGCTAATGTTTGAATTGCCAGAGAAAGAACATTTGCTGAATCCATCCAGGACAACAAAGAGTCACTGGAAGGGAGCGGGTTATGATGGTAATGGGAATGGGTTTTCTTCAACTGGGCTAAATATTCACACAGGCCTAAGCCAGCAGAACCCAGGCAATAGGAAATCTGTTTTATTCTGGGAATCTGTTTTATTCTATTTTCAAAGATTCTTGGGGTTGGAAAAGACCTTACAAAGACAATTTGGTTCAGTCCCTTCCCCAAATCAGGTTTCCATTTTCTTGGCAACATCCTTACTAGTATTAGTGATTATATCCCTGAGCTCTTCTAAGAGTTATAACTTAAAATCCAACTCAGCACACATCAGACCCCTCCTGCACTGGGGCCATTCAGCCATCTGGAGCCATTCTCCTGATTCTTCTGTGTTCTCCATGTGACAGATTTCAGTGATACCTGGGCTGGGAATGTGCCTAGGGGTAGAGTGCTTGCCTAGCATGCATGAAGCCCTGGGTTCGATTCTTCAGTACTACATAAACAAACAAAAAAAAACAGAAGTGGAGTAGTGGCTCAAGTAGTAGAGTGCTAGTAGAGTGCTAGCCTTGAGCAAAAGAAGCTTAGGGACAGTGCCCAGGCCCTAAGTTCAAGTGCCAGGACTGACAAGAAAGAAAAATTTTTTTTTCAGTGATACCCTAATGGCTGGGACTCATCAAAGGGAGGCATCTGAGGCAGAATCTAGACCAAGGCAGGGGAAGGACTTGCCAGCACGGGTTCCTAAATCATCTTCCAAAAATCACTAGCTGTAGAATACCTGCTTGGCAAATACAAGGCATTTGTCCTGCTACTGCTCTCAGGAGGTAGCTAAGAGGCAGAAGGAAAAGGTTAGCTCTAGGGTCTACTATACTATACGGTTAAAGCAATAATAATAATAATAATAAAATGCTGGATGCCTATAATCCTAGCTACTTAGGAAGCTGAGATCTGAGGATCAGGTTCAAAGCCAGCCTGGGCAGAAAAGTCCCTATGAGAGTCTTATCTCCCATTACCCCCTCAAAAACCAGAAATGGTTCTGTGGCTCATGTAAGTACATGCTAGCCTTGAGCAAAAGAGCTCAGGGACAGTGCCCAGGCCTCGAGTTCAAGCCCCAGGACTGACAAAGACAAAAAAAAAAAATCTGGACCACAGAATCTCTACTAGATCCATATGTAAAATCAAGGTTCAGAGAAGGTAGATGACTTGCCTATCATCACCCAGGTGGAGAGGGACAAGGCCAGGATGAGATCATTAACATCCTATTTCCCGACCTCCAAACCTTTCTCCAGGGAGGTCTCTGTGACGAGTACTCAAGTTCTGAATTCATGCCCTAAGACTAGGGGCTGCTGGATACTTATGCCAGTCTCAAAATGTGCTTATATCAGGTCTGACTTGACCCACCCTAAAACATTCTCATCAAGGAGAGAGAGCTCCTCTGAAATGGAGAAAGCCCTAATAGTGGGGAGTCTGAGAACACCCCAAAGGAATTGCCTAGAGTCTGGAATAGCTTCCAGAGCAAGGAAGCAAGGAGTAACAATGAAATCTCTGTGGGGCTAGAACACTTTACAGAACATTATGGCAAAAAGAAGTCACCCAAAATACCAACCAATCTCTCTATATTTCTGTCAATGTATTTCTTAACGAGAGGGGAACAACCTGTACCTACACCGCAGACAGCTGTCTCTCCAGAGAGCAGAGAGGAAGCCGCCTCTCCCAATACAGGGAACCGAGGTGGCAAGGTGCTGGCATGTGTTAGGGAGGATATAAGGGATGAGGAGGGTGAGGGATTGTGGGGTGGGAGGGCTGACTCACCAGGCTGTGCATGATGCGTACTCCTTCAGGGTTCACTGTGAGCGCTTCCTTGTATAGCTGCTTGGCCTCTTCCAAGCTGCCCTTCACCTCAGCCAGCCGACCCCGCATGTAGAGCACTGAATGAGAGGTGGGGAAGAGGCCTGCCGCCTCCTGGATGCAAAAACCTGCTTCCTTGAGGTGTTTCTGCTCCATGAACAGCTCAGCTGTGAACCAGAGGGCCAGTGGGAAGTGTGAGCAGTGGGAAGTCAGAGGTGGCCTCAGTCTGCACTGCTAAAGATGGGGAACTGGACCTATCCCACCAAGTGACAGCCCAGGATGAACTTGCTATGGTGTGCAGGATAATGTGTTCTGAGCATCTCCTCTGCGGCAGGCACTGTATTGGGTGAGAAATCCGGACCACCTCAGTCCATGCTTGCTCCAGTGCTTGGAGAACAAGTACTTTCACTACCCACTGATAGTTAGGAAGCTGAGTGCAGGGAGGTTAGGGCACTTGTCCACAGCGAGAGCATGTGATAAAGCCTGGGTTTGTCAGGCTGACTTCAGAGCCTGGTAGTGGTGACACAAGTGGTGTCCCCTGGGGCTGAGCACGTGTTCAGAGGTCTCTGACTTGTGTCCCAGTGTCCTTTCATTTCACTTGATCTTGCTGTCTGGGCAGAGAGGGTAGAAGCCTCTCAGCCTTGAATGGGAGGAACAGAGGCGTGGGATATATGGTATGGGACAGCACCGAGTGAGAACTAAATGATCACAGTGACAAAGGCAGTGACTTGCATTTATGGAGAGCTGAGCCACTCTTAATTTGCAAAATATTTTCTGTCATGAATCCTCTAGTCTTGGAGAGAGACAGGTACAGTCAGAATCCTTACCCCATCTCCACTGTGAGAAGGGGCAACTTGGGGACTAGTTTTCCCCTTGGCCTCCCTCCATAGCTGACACAAACATTTTTGGCTAGCAGGTAGGACCAGATCTGTCACAAGAGATCAGTGGGGAAAGGAGTCGTTTCTCCCCTGCCCCCACCGCCCAGGGCAGCAGCCCACAGAAATGTACATTTCAGCCACATGCTGCTCAGGCGCACACCCACAGCAGGTACTTTTAGACAGGCTGCTTGTCGGCCCCCAGCCCACTCTGCCTTCCTTTCAAAGCAGCCCCCGGGCTCAGCTGCCCCTCCCGGAGCCGGTGCCCATGCGGAAGTCACAGAAGGATGGCAACACAGATGGGGAGCGAGGGAGGCCAGCAGAATCTGGCTTGCGACTGTGCCAAGAGCTTTTCCTAGCAAGGGCTGAGAGCTGAGGTTACACCAGTTCAGATCATGTCTGGGATGGGCTAGATAACAGATAATACCAATGAAAACTTGCAGAGGGAGGTGGACAAAGGGAACCCAGGCATCCCCTCTGCTTGCCCTGATAAGCAGCAAAAGGAAGGAGGGCTAAAGCCCTGATTGCAGTACATGGCACTGCGGGAAGGGGGGTTTCTCAGCAAGAACACTGCCTGAGGTTCATTGTGCAAGCTGAGCAGCTTCTGGCTGCATCCAAAAATGTCACCAGGGGCTTTTGGAGCAAGGGTATTGTTTTTCTTATGGTGATGAGAACTTGGGGAGATCTGAGAATTAAACACAGCAGAGCCAGGTTCCCACATGGTGAGAGAGATGGACACAGGATACAGACAGGCTGACATGGAGGCTCCCAAGGCAGACAGTAGAGGGAGGTGAAGCCAGGGATGGGGGTTTTCAGTCCAGGACCTTGCGGCGGGGGTAGGGGGGTGGGTGGGTTTGGAGGTAAGGGTAAGGATGGACCAGAGATCAGCAGTTGGCATATTTCAGCTTCAGCTCTTCTCTGCTCTTCTGTTAAGCTGCTGCTGAGGCTCTGAGAAGGTTGCCTTCATACCTAAATATCCACTGTGTATGTCCTGAGCACTGACTGTATGCCTGCATCTTCCCACAAGGATTAAAAACAGGTGGAAATGGGGGCAGCTGAATGGCCAAACCATCTAAGAGATCCAGAGCAGTGAAGTGACAACTGGCATTCAGGATGGGACAGGCCAGTGATACTAGCTAGTGTGGTTAATAAGGAGGTCTTCCTGGAGGATGCCGCACTTGAGTTGGCAGGGAGGAAAAGGGAGGGGAGGACCAGATTACACCGTGGCAGAATCCCCAAGGGTCACAGGAGGAGAGGGGAGGACCAGAAAGAAGTGTGAAGCATATGGTGTGAGTGTTGGGGTTAGGGCTGCTGCTCCTGCATCAGGCCTGTGGTTATATCCTCTATGACAGAAGCTCAGCTGGTCTAGGGCTCAGGGCTCAGGCTTTCTCCATGTTTAGAACTTACCCAGCAGTCCCACCCAGGCTGGGCTCAACTTGGCCCTGGCATGGCTCATTAACCTGTTTACAACTTGCTACACTGCCTCCCAAGCCCTCAGGAGGCTATCCCCTAGTCCCTGCCTTGGGGATTTCTCATGGTGTGTACGCATCAACAGATTTCAATTCGAGTACTGGAACTTTGAGCTTTCTAAGGCTCTGGGCCCTACTGAGAGGCCACAGGCTAGGAAAGATGCCCTGAAAGATAGGTAGGCTGCTCTGTTTGGATGGGCTTCATCACCACTTAGGGAGCAAAGCAGATGACACAAAACAGAACCAGAGAAACATGGGTCTTGCCACATTGCAGACAGCCCTCACAGGTCCCACCTCCAGGCAGTCGCTTCTGACCCACATGTCTGCTGTGTATCTCTTCTGTCTAGCCTCAGTGTCTTTGGGCAAATGCTCCCAGCTCCTGTTTGCTATTTTACCAAACATGGTTCTCCCAGACAGCCGGCCGAAGCTGCAGCAGGAGCCCTATGGCATAGCACTCACCATCTCCTGGATCTTTTCTCTCCTATCCTTGCTTGCCAGACCACACCAATGGCTTGCCCTGGATGAGCCTACTACTTTTCCTTGATTTATCTTGTCCAGGTCATCTCTCTAGCAAGCAGAGCCTTGCTTCTTCCTGAGTGACAAAGGGCCCTTTGGATTCCAGTTGGCTCCTTGATTCTTCCTTCCTACCTTTCTCTTCTCTCATTGCCCTCTCTGCTTACTTACTTCCCTCTTGCTTTCCTCCTCTTTGCTGCTCCTTCTCTCTGCCCCCGCCCCCCTTCTTCCCTCTATGCTTTCTCTCTTCAGGCTACAAATGGAAAACATCTGTTCCCTGGAGCTTTGCAAGAGTCCCTTTTATTTTTTATTTATTTGGTTTTTTGTTGGTCATGGGGCCTGAACTCTGGGCCTGGGCACTGTCCCTCAGCTCTTCAGCTCAAGGCTAGCGCTCTACCACTTGAGCCACAGCGTCACTTCTGGCTTTTTCTGCTTATGTGGTGCTGAGGAGTCCAACCCAGGGCTTCATGCATGCAAGGGAAGCACTCTACCACTGAGCCACCTTTCCAGCCCAAGAGTCCCTTTTATTCTTCTGAGACATCCTGGTCTAACCCTGCACCTGAAGCTGGTTACAGTCGTTCTTGCCAAAAGAAGCCTTGCAAACTTGTAAGAGCACTGAGAAGCCCCTGGGGTAGAAGGGAATATAGATTAGGTCCTCAAGTCCACCTTGATCCCCAGTAGGAGCAGTTTTTCTGATTCCAAAGGAAATAAGCAGCCCTCCTAATGGAGCAGACTCTTAGGACATATGGACACTTAGAATAAAGGAGAGGAAATGGTGACAAGAGGACAAAGAGGAATAAATAAGAGTCAGAGGCCTAAGATGGAGAAAGACTAGAGTCCCAGAGAATCCAAAGGTGGCACAGGTACCCTTCCAGCCCCGGGGCTCAGAAAGCATAACAAACGGAGGCAACCTGGGCCTGAGGTCTACTTCCTGTCCTGAGAGGGCTGACTGGGGAGTTTGGGACGGGGGAGGAGCAAGAGAAGGGTCCTCCATGGCACAGAAGGCAGGAGGGAGGGAGCAGAGTAGGGTTTTAGAAAAGAGGGAAGAACCAAGGAAGATAAAGGAAAGAATGAAGAGCAGAGTGTGTGAAGAGGAAAGAGTGCAGAGCCAAGGGAAGCTTGCTACTCTTTGACTGTAAGTTTATAGTAAGCTGTGTGGCCCACAGCTGGCTGGCACTAGCACCCTGGCTCTTTCTTTATGTGCCCTAGACTGCAAGTGTAAGCCATTCCAGCTATTAGTGGGGGCGAAGGGTCCTGAGGACATGTGCTTTACCTAATCATGTGGGGAAGTTTAGGGAGAAGTCATGGTGGTGTTGGTGACTTGGTCTTGGAGCCTTTCATCCAACAGGTATGTGGTAGAAGCTGGTGATGGTGGCAGCAGAAGGGTGAGGTAGGAAGAGCTTCAGAGTCCTCACATGCTTATACAAACACTGGTCTACCTGTCTCTTATAAGATCCCCTGGTTTCTAACAAGATACATGGATCCCAGAATAATGGCACCTGCTAGCGTTCTTTGCAGTTCAGAGTAATCCATTAGTGGAGTTTTGGCCAATGTATGACAAAGGAAAGTCATGTATGCCAATTCCAGGTATACATTCACAAGCAGAGGCACCTTCCTCCTCTTGTCTATGTTTATCTTATGCTTGGACTTGTGAATGTGGCAGGGAGCCAGCTTGGACCACCTGGACAAGAGTAGCACTTGAAGAATGCAGCACTATCTGTCATCCAGTCAAGACTATCACCTTTGAATTGTTGAAGAAATAAGCATCCCCTGTGGGTAAGCCACTATGATTGTAGCTCTGCCACCTGCCTCCAGATCTATCTCCTAATATTGCACTGTCCAGACTTTACCTGGGGCTGTATTCTCAGTGCTTCCTGTGGAGCGAGTGAAATCTAGGATAACATTCCAAGAAAAAAATGCTAATGTGAGACTTAGTGAAGGGCGTGTGTTTATACTGACATGGCTGATGCCAGGCTTTAGGAAGGCTTTTCACCTCCTTCTCACCAGCACATTGCAGCACCCCTGTATAAAGCAATATAACCTAAAACAGCAAGCAGGCTATGATGTGCAAAAAAGGTGTTCTACTGCAAAACCAAGGCAAAGTGGTAAAAGCAAGAACCTTGGGAGCTGCAGCATGAGCTGAGCTCACTGTTGTTATGAAGGCGCTGCTTGGAGCTGCTAAGGCCCCCAGCATAGGTGCAGCTTTCTACCCCACACACTCTATTCTTCTTCTTCTTTTTTTCAATAAGGTTTTTATTGTGAAAATACTGTACAAAGGGGTTACAATCACATGAGCAAGGTAATGAGTACATTTCTTATCAAGCATTGTTGCCTCCTCCTTTGTTTTCCCCTTCCATCTCCACAACTATATTCTGCCCTCTCCCCCAGACACTCTATTCTGAAGATACATTTTTCTTTTGCCCTAGTCCAGCTTGGCACCAAATCTTAGAAGAGGACAGGGGGATCTTTGCCTAGGAAGAGGCCGGGTTTATTATTATTCTGTATTCTTTAACATTCATCTTCCTGCTGAAGATCCAACAAGCTGTGGAGCTATTCTCCTCACCCGCTCCATCCCTAGCATCCTAAGGAACCCCGAGATGCCAAGGGGGGAATATATGCATTATTACAATGCTCCATGTGTAGCCTTTCTGTGAATTCTGGTCTAATTTTTCCCCCATATTCAGAACTGATGATGGAAAGAGTGGAGGCGTGCTGCATACTAATGTGTCCATATGTAGAAAACATACCGGGAAACCTTAGCTTCTCAGCTAACAAGCACATTCTAATGCTGACTTGCTAACTCCTCCGTGCTGTCTATGTAAATGATCATCTTCCTTCTACTTGGGACTACAGTCCACCCCTGTGGTGGGAAGGGAAGCAGGGAAAAGGTGAGCAGGACATAAAGGAGGTGGTACCCTTGGGCCTGGGACAGCTGGGACGTCCCTTGGGCAGCTCTAGACTAGCTGGCCTGGAACAGGTTTAGGGTTCCTGTTGGTTTCTTGTCTTTTTCCTTTCTTCTGCCGCAGCTGCCATTTTGTCTTACTCTGGCATGTCATTTTTGGCCCGGATTCTCTCCCTTTTCACTCTATTCCAACTCTCACACTATTACCAGGTCAAGTTGTCAAACATTTTTCAATGAGTCACTTCTTGGCATTTCTCAGCCAAGCACAGGGAGACTGAGTCCTCTGCCTCTACCATGACCTCGACGGGGGTCAAGTGCATGTCTGAGCACTTGCTACGCGTTACACTAACGGCTTCACACCTTCACTAATTTCAGATCATATCTGGACAGTCTGGAGCTGGCACTGGAACCAAGTCTGTATGACATTGAAGCCTAGGATCCCAGAAGCCAGCCACTCTCTAGCTTTGTAAACTCCCTAGTATCAATGGTGTCAGCTAGTGATGGAAAGGAATGCCACCTGGATGGGAGTGTCCATCACCAGCCCTCTGGCCTTTCCATCTGTATGGCTTCTCTTGATCTCAAATCCTGCCACATTTGTATCCTCACAAAAAAACCAGGTGCTCTCCTCCCTGGGCAGAGAAAGAAACAAGACAAGTGGAGGATGCCAGGGACTGAGGATCCTGGAACATCCATGGGCCTGGTGTCACTCTGCCTAGGAAGCTAGGCCCTTTCATGTAGCCTCTCAAGTAGAAACCCCACCCTTTAGGCTGGGATGGGGGAGCTGGAAAAAGGGCAGGTAAGTTGGGAATCAGCTAGGACTGTAACTCCAGGTTCCAGATCTCAGAGTCCAAGCCCGTATGAGCCTGGGCAGGAATCCCTATCTGTCTACTTGGGAGTCCCACGGTGGTTTCAGCTAGATACGTGGATATCACTGGGACCCAGCTCCCCAACTGGGACCAGAAACACTCACCAGCCTGGAGCCAGATCTGTTCCAGTGTTGTCCACAGCTGCATGGGGCCCTGTTTCAGAACTGAGGTAGGCATGGTCAACTCCGACATGGCCTCCTCCAATCGTGAGGCTGCAATCGATGATGCCCGCCGAGAGCCTGAAGAGCAAGAGGGCAGGGGACTGAACAGCTGAGTCAGGGTGTCATGCACTACAGGCTCAGAAGCAGCCAGTGCCCAGCTCCTTAGAAACAACAGAGCACCAGAGGCAGGGCAGGGCAGGGCAGGGCAACTCAGCCTGACAGCCAGAGAACAGCCCACAGATCACTAGGAAGGTCCCACTATTACCCACCAAATCTGGGAGAAATCCCACTGAGACTCTATCCCAAAGGAAAACAATCACAAATGGCAGCAAAGGCACTCTTTGACATCTGCTTGTGACACTGAACACAACAGAAATTACCCGAATCAACAATAGGGACTGACAAAATAATTGAGGGGACAACCATCAGAAGTTCTCCTCATAGTAATAAAGTACATGTGGAAAATGGTATGTGTAGCTACTGATGTGAAAAAGTGTTCCCATTATACAGTCAGGAGCAAAACAGAATTTACAAAAGAATATGGTCACATTTGTATAAATAGTAAATACGGGAATCCATGGATAAAAGGGTCCTTTACTGAGGTCTGGTAAAAAAAAAAATAGGGATGTCTTTTTTCTTTTTCTTTTCTCCTGCTCTTTTCCCAAGTGCACATTACTGTTTCAAACAGCAAAATGAAGGATCCTTGGGAAATGGCTCTTACTGTCAGAGAACCTGTCCCGTAGCAGTGCTGGGTGGTGTGAGTCCCTGCTCAGGGTATAAGCTATTGACATTTACAATTCCCCTGCAGATGAAGTGTGAGCACCTGCTTTCTGAGACATTATAGACTCTAATAGGCTCAGGAGCCTTCAGATAAACCGCAGGCAACTTCAGTTTATGACACAAGCATATGAATAGTTCTAAGGAATTCTGCATGACTTTAATTGCAAGGGAGCAACCCCTTAACCCTCTCCTCCTCAGGGTAGGTAGAATTCTGTATGTACTCCACATCACTCTTGGGATGCACCTCTCAAGTCAGGCGTTGAGTCTAGCTATTGAAACCCATTCCATCACTTGACAATGAAAGTGCAATTCAGCTCAGGTACACAGAAGTGAAAGAAAGGCGCAAATGCATGAAATACCTCTCCACTCACGTTCACCCCACAACGAATTCTTGCATTTTTGAGGAAGGTAATCTGCTTTCATCAGGACCTTTGCTCGTGTGTGTGTGTGTGTGTGTGTGTGTGTGTGTGTGTGTGTGTGTGTTTGCAGTTCCTGAATCCATTTGAATTTCAGAAGCGCTGGGTCTGAGGGTGAATTTTGTTCAATAGAGTCAGCCTTGAGCTAAAGAGTTCAGCCCATCTCTTTCTTCCATGAGACTTCTCCACTGGCCTCTGGCTTTGGCTTAAGAGGAAGTAGTCTGTATCTTTTTTACCCTAGTCTCCTTTCTCTTCCCCTGCCTGGGATGTAGGGTCCCTTCCTTGCCCACTCCAGCTGTCCACCACCTATCCCCTGGGCCAGTAGCCAGCCCTACCCAGAGTAAAGATCAGCGCTGAAAGATGTGAGGGCAGGTCCTTTGTCAAGGAGCAGGGGAGGGTTTGCCAGGCTGGGCAGATGCTGCCCTCCATTTGTGCTCTCAAGCTGGGACAGTGAGCTACAGCCCTGCACGGACAGGTTCCTGTGAGGCCCACTCTTACCAGAGTCTGCATCGTGGGCATCAGGCAGGGTCAGATGCATGCCACTCTGTTTCTTCACCATGAGACCCTCACCGAAGCTGCCATCCTTTTCCAGGCCTCTGGAAGATGAAAGGAGGGCATGTCTTAGTGAGGCAAAGGGATTGCATTCCTGTGACTAGCACAGGAGAATAAGGAAGTCTCATAGTAGCAGGCTCTGGGGTGACACATTTAGGTCCCAGAATCATAACCAGTCAGGACAACAGAGAAGAGCTGATACAAGGAGGGGGACAGACAGAGCAGCATGGGTCCAGAATCACATAGGCAGAGGAACAGAAACTCCTCATGCTATTTACTCCCCTCCACTGAGGTAGGTGGGGTCAGAAGGTCCCCCAGCCCGGGGCGAGGTTTCTTTCAACTTCATGATATCTAGCAGAGCACCAGGCCCAGAACGAGGTCTGCAGACTGGCTTCCTGGTCTTTTCAGGGCCCTAGAAGTACCACAGCCAGAGTTCAGGGATGGAGGACCCACTCCCATCCCCTGTCATGGGATTCCCTTCCTCAGGTTACCAGGATGGCTCCAAAGGAGGCAAAGGGGTCTGGGTGGCAGACAAACATGTATGGTTTGTCTTGCCAGCCCCCACGTCGTCTCCAGGTCTCTGCAGCTCCCATGTTTCTGGGGCTCTATCTTTTTGCAAACTGGGAGGTGGGAAGAGCCAGGAAGCTGTTTTAACAGTGGTTGAAACTCACTTCCCACTGACAAGACTCATGACTCGATATGAGGGCTGAGGAAACTCAGAGGTGTGTAACAGCAGAAATTGGGAGGATAGGGCCAGAAAATGTCCTTCCTCTCAGGGACATTAAGATGATTCCACAAAAAATGTCAGGGAAGGAGAGCTGGTGGCTCACACCTGTAATCTTAAGATACTTAGGAGGGCCGGGCGCTGGTGGCTCACGCCTGTAATCCTAGCTACTCAGGAGGCTGAGATCTGAGGATCGCGGTTCAAAGCCAGCCCGGACAGGAACATCCATGAGACTCCTATCTCCAATAAACCACCAGAAAACCAGAAGTGGCGCTGTAGCTCAAGTGGTAGAGCGCTCGTCTTGAGCTGAAGAGCTGAGGGACAGCACTCAGGCCCAGAGTTCAAGCCCCACGACCGACCAAAAAAAAAAAAAAAGATACTTAGGAGGCTTATAGACCTGGAGGATCCTGGTTTGAAGCCAGCACAGATAGAAAAGTCTGTAAGACTCCATTTCCAATTGACCAGCAAAAAGACAGTCTGGAGGTAGAGTAAACCAGCAAACAAGCCCTCAAGGGCTTGAAGCCCTGGGTTCAAGCCCCATTACTGACATTATGAAAAAAAAAAAAGTAGGGCTGGCTGGGAAGGTGGCTCAGTGGCAGAGTGTTTGCTTTGCATGCATGAGGCCCTGGATTTGATTCCTCAGCACCATATAAGCAGAAAAAGCTAGAAGTGGCACTGTGGCTCGAGGATAGAGTGCTAGGCTTGAGCTGAAGTGCTGAGGGACAGCGCCAGGCCAGAGTTCAGGCCCCATGACCATCACCACCAACAACAACAAAAAGTAGGCTGGGTGCTGGTAGCTCATGCCTGTAATCCTAGTTACTAAGGGGGCTGAGATCTGAGAATCTCGGTTCAAAGCCAGCCTGGGCAGAAAAGTCTGTGAAACTTTTATCTCCAATTAACCACCAGAAAGCTGGAAGTGGCACTGTGGCTCAAGTGGCAAAGAACTCGTCTTGAGCTGAAGAGCTCACAGACAGCACCCAGGCCCAGAGTTCAAGCCCCACGATTGACCAAAAAAAAAAAAATTAATTAATTAAATAAAAAAAAATGTATCCTGGCCATTTAGATAACAGGGGCCACAGCTTGGCTTGGAAATAAGCAGCCATCTTAATGGGCTCAGACACAATTTCCACCAAAGCGCAGTGGCTTAGTGTTGGTTCTCTTTTCCTACCTTTTTCCCAGCGCTAGGAGGCATCAGACTGAGAAGCCAATGAGCTAGACACACCAGGTTTAAATCATGAGACCACCTCTTCTCAGCAACCTGACTCTTCTTACTGATCTTTGAAAATATCCAGCTGTTCTGAGATGGAGATAGTCTGGGCCAGTGCCTAGCATGGTGCTGGCTTCCTATCCAGGTTCCTACTCTGTAGGAACACTTTTGGGTCTTGTTTTCTCTCCCATCCTGTGCAGGGACTTCTCCTATGGCATCAGAAACATCTGGTCTCAGAGGAATTATTTGCCACATGGTTTTAGGACAACAGGCAGCATGCTTCCTACCTTGAAGAACCTTACACCCAAGATGGGGAGATGAGATGGTCCAAGCTGAACAAGTAGCAAAGACCGGTATGAGAGGGGTGGAGTGGAGGCGGCTGAGGCTGGGTGGTTGGTGACTCCATGAAGGAGGGGCCTAGGGTGTGATGAGAACATCAAGTCAGCAATGCAGAATGGGCAGAGGAGAGCAAGGGACTGAGCAGGAGTTCAGTGGGATGTAGGCCCAGCTGAGTGCGTGGGTTAAGGTAGGCTAGACTCTAAGGCTGTGGAGTCTGGTCTTGATCCTTGACTGTTCCAAACTGGATTTCATAAGCTGTGGTTTGGTTTGGTTTTGATATGTGTCTCACTATGTAGCCCAACCTGGCCTCAAACTCCTGATCCTCCTTGCTTCTGCCAGGACTACAGGCTTGTGCTACAACTGTCTCCTCTGGTTTCTTTCTAATCAGGGGCACCAGGTTCAGAAAAGACTATCCTGTCTCCTGGGAAAGCCAAAGAACTAGGTCTAGGCTTGTGAGCCTAGCAGAGCCCTGCCCTGGGAAGTTCCCAAGAGAGGCACCAAGGAACCTCCAGCCTAGAAGGGTTCCATCAGATGTGGAGGTCAGATATGAAATGTATGGGTAGTGATTTGAAGAGACCTAAAGGCAGACCCCAGTGCCCCAGCCCCTGAGGGAGCACCGGGCAGCTAACCCTGCATCCAACTCTTCTAAGGAAAGGCACAAGCCAGGCCTTAACTGAGCTAAGGCTGAAGCCTGCAGGGACCTCATCCAAGACTGGCCACCCAGATGAACAACCAGCCATGCAAATAAAGACACAGATAAGGAACAGCCAATTCTAGGTCAGCTTCTCTGCAGAAGGAGGGCTAGGCTATATACCTGCTCTAACTCCTACAGCAGTGATCTGGAGAGGGAGGGGCATCTGAACACAGGTCCCTTTACACCAGAGACCGCCCTCAAGCTCCCATCACTCAGCTGCCAAGCAGCATCCCATCTCTTCATCCAACAAACACTTCTGGCAGCTTCTACTGGTCTTGCCTTGCTCTGTACATCTTGCAGACCCCAAGCCCTGCAAAGGGAAGGATGACTCTGCCCATGATTTTTTTTTTTTTAACTCTGGAGCCTTCTCTGTAAATTTCACCAGGAAAGAAGCTCCTCTAAGGTATTTGGAGGCTTTCTGGACTCCCAGAGTCACTGTGGAAATGTACCTAGGGAGAAGTAGGTGGCCTCCAGGACCCTCTTTCTTCCTCTTCTTCCAGCCTCCAAACAGTTCCAGAAAGGGAAGGGCAAGCTCCACAGCCTAGGACTGAGGAGACTGGGCTGAAGTATAAGCACTACACTTATCAGGTAAGGTGACCAACGAATTAGGTCAGGGCTGAGTCAGTTTCCTACTAGGCTGACAATAAAATGTGCTAATGTAGAAGAGGCAAGCAGCTGATGCTTTAGATAAAGCAATAAGCCCTACCTCATAATGGCTTCTCTACCTTCTCACCACCAAATTCAATCTGTACATGGGATCTTTATGTATGTATGTATGTAATGGAGGACTATCAAGAGGTTAAAACTGTACTATGGGTATAGAAAGTGCATGAGTGCCAGTTCCACATTTTCATCCAAACATTCCCATTTTGTCAGGCATTGTAGCCACCCAACCAATGGCAACCACTGCCTGCCAACTCGACCCTCCTCCCTCTAGCAACAGAGGGAACCAAGACAGCTACTCACCCCAACTGGGAGAAGTTGTACAGTGTCTGCCACAGCCGCAGCATTTGTCTGCAGGTCACAAGGGCGTCCTCTGGACCTTTCAGTACCTGCTCAAGCTTCACTTTGGTGAACATCAGGCTGTGGGGAAGGAAAGCAGCTAGCTGTCAGCAGGCCAAGTGAAGCTTCCTTCTGAGAATGGACCCTAGGGTATTCAGCCTTACCAGGACAGTCCCAGCCTACCCAATTCCCCAGCACAGTCCAGGAGTGTAGCAGCTTCTGGACCACTTCCTTCCACTCTGTTTTTCTGACTCTCCCCATCTTTGTGCCAAAGCATGAGGCACTCTTCTGCACTTGCCAGTGTTTGTGCCATCTGTCCCCTCATCATATCTCACCTTGTGCAAATGCTCTGGGGAGCACTGTCAGGTCTGACTCTCAGCCTGGCTTGGTTTGCTCCATTTCTCACATCCTCAGTTAAGCAGTGCTATGCACACACATTCCATCAACACGTGGCTGTGCTTTATACTTTTGTGCTCCAGAAGACCCAGGATAGGATTTGGGTAAGAGATATCCAGAAAGCAGCTTTCAGACAGTGAGGCTAAGCAAAGAACTGGCACGAAGGCCACCTTAAGGGCAGAATTCTTTATCTTGCCAGCACACAATAGGTGCCCAATTACAATCTCCTAAATGGACCAAGTTTGATTCCTTAACCTAGGATATCCTAGGAAGGTCCTGTTCTATTTTACCAAAGGTTTCTCCCTTGAATTTCCTAGGATAGCCAATTCCCTTAGGATCAAAGGGACATGAAACGCTATTCAATCACCACTAAGGGACAGTTGCTGTGTCATGAGAGAGTGGCTTCAGACTTTCAATCAGAAAAACGGAGTCCTCTGAAGCTGGAAGGCCCACAGGAGGGGTGGGACACAAGGACCCAGGGCCAAAGCCTCAGCATGCTTGCTCACCAGGAATGCCAGTGGGCCGGGAGGTGTTGCTGTACCAGGTATTAGCCCTTTGGTGGGCAAGACATTGACCACTAGCAATACTGACACATCCCAGATGCGTGAGCAGCCTACATAGAGTGTGGCTGAGCCACTGAGGCTTTTTAGTCATCATATCATTGCTGAGTGAATCAACAGGACCAACAGGCCTTAAATCTAACCACTGCCTGTGCAGAGAGCATGCCCATCTAAGGCCACCATACAGGCTTTCAGGTAAGCAAAGCTCTGCATCAGAGGCCCCCATCCTAGACTTCTCAGGCTGCAGAGGGGGTAACCCTACCAATGGAGACCTGGCCTCCACCTACCTGGGGTCTGGCTTCTCTCTCCTCTGTACTGAGACCTGGGCCTTTATGTCCTTCAGCACTTTCCTTTTCATCCCTTCTCTCAGACTGTGACTCACTGATTGAGAATGAAGAGGGTGGAATTTGCCCTGGTCCTCTTTTCAGAAGAGGGGTCTGGCTTCTGGGGAACATCTTACTCCTTCCTTTTCCAGAAAAATGCTTTTCCTGCCCCTGCACACCTGTCCTCCTTGCCATGGCTTCCCTCCTCCACGCTCACCCCATCCCCTAGCCTTGACCTTCATTAAATCTCACTTCATCTCTTCCACACCCTTGACCACCTGGCTGGTCTATGAGGTCCCAAGAGAAGGAATGGGTTCCCCCAGCATATCTGGAGGCTATAGCCTGAGCAGGGACAGGTCTCAACGCCTGGTGGCCAGTGGCACCATCTGCTCCCCCTTCCCAGACTGTCCCAGGATCCAGCCCTCCACCAGCAGTTTTAGGCGCCTCTGCTTTCGGGAATAGGAAGTAGAAGACACAATTTCTGCCTTGAAGGTAACAATTAGAGTGCTATAAATGTCAAATTGCCCAGAGAATCCAATGTTTATTTTGGGGCCAGACTCAGTACGAGGAAAAAACAGAGAGGGTCTTGCTGTAGCTCAAGTCTGGATGAAAGGAGGGTGGAGGGTGGGGTGAGATTTGAGTGGAGGTGGGAGAGAGAAGTTTGGCCTGGGCAGGACTGAAGGCTGGAGCAAAGAATGTTGGGGAAGGGCCAGGCCCGGTCTATAACCACCCCTTCCCTTAGGTAACCAGAGAAGCAGAGTCCTTGGACAGGTGACGTTGGGCTATGGGACAGTTTCCAGACCAGCCCTGAAACATTACTGGACTCTCCGCAGACTCCTCTTGACAAGGGTCCCTGTCCTACTTTTGCCCCTGCATCTGAGAGCCAGGTTGTGTTCTTGGCAGACTAGCTGAACAGGCACCTTGTGCCCAGGACAGAAGGGACTGAAAGCGGAGCTGGCATGTTCATCATAGCAGCCTCTATCAACGCAGGCTGTACCCTCCTGGCAGCTGACATTCCATTAGCATGAGTGGCCCAGAGTGGAATTTCTCAACCCAACCACATCCTCCCTGAGCCCAGCAAGTGCTCCAACAGACACTTTCTGGTCTGATATTCACTCCTGCATCCTGAGGCTCCAGATTAGCTCCTGATTTCTCCATAGTTGGCAGTTGAGCATTGCCAAAGGGATCTTCCTGCATGAAGAGGCCTGCCTGCTAAACGTTCATGCCATCCATCTGTGCACCTTGGTGGTGTGGCCTTCAGGGCCTTTCAGTTAGGCCTCCACCTCTCATTCCTATTGCTCTCCCATGACCTGGGGCTGATCACATGGACGCTAACAGCTCTTAAGAGTCTTATTAGCACAGGCTCCAGGACTTGTCTGTGCTTTGCTTCCCATGATGACATCTGCTAGAACTTGTCCTTCCCTCTCCCACATCCAGATGTCACTCTCAAACTCTTTCTGTGTGTGTGTGTGTCCCTGAGCACTGCACACATACATAGCCCCTTCCAGGACAATCTTCAATGTGTCTGGAAGTGGGTAGCTGATAGCTTGCCTCTAATTTACTGCTAGACCCTTGCTTGAAATGAACCAGCAGCCAACTCAGGGCCTCACAATTAATTCAGCTCTGGGCTCTGCTCACTATGTTATCCACGGCCAGCTCTCTGGGAATACAGTTTCCCTCCCACCCAGTCCTCTGGAATTGGTAGCCATGAGCCACCCATGTGCTCTGGGCCCAGTTTTTCAGATGGAGGTCTAGTGTGCCACTGTGAATTGTGGGTGACACTTTGGGACTAGCAAAACTAGGGAGAGTTAGTTGTAGCCATGGACTTACCAGAAGTCTGTGCTTCCTGAGTATGGCTGGAGATGCTGCTGGCAGTGGGGCAGGACAGGGGATTAGCCTGGCTCCCCATTCCTGTCAGGTACCCTTATATACACAGGGAGTCTAAAATCCACTATTGTATCTGGGCATGGGAGTACACACTGTAATCCTAGTACTCAGGAGGCTGAGGTAGAAGGATTAAGAGTTTGAGGCCAGTCTCGGATATATAGCATGATCTGTTGCAAAACAAGGTAAAAAAAACTAAAGAAAACAGACAAAACTAATCCTGAAGCTACAGTCCTCCAAAAAGGCTCTATGTGACCACCATGCCCTGAGTGCCTGATACTATGTTCAGTCAGCACTTGATTATATCTTCTCTGTCTCTATATATACACAGGCTGCAGAGTTTAGTACAAAAGGTACACTTGTACCAAGCATTTCCAGTCACTCCAGAAGCAGTCTACAGTAGTAGAACCTACCACTTATCTTGTCTGAGTCCATTATACATGCCCACATGGATGGCAAGTACCTGTGGCCCATCTCCTTAGCACTACTGTCTGCCCCACTTCCCTAAATGCCTGGCTTGGTGCTGAGCGCTGGTATCTGCTTAGTACTAGAGTCTGGTTGTATGACTTCTTATAGCTGCAGTGGGTACAGATTCATAGCCGAAGGCAAAGCACCAGCCAATTCCATTCCAAATTGTCCCTTGGCAAAGGCTTATTCCACAGGAGACAGGTACTGAGGAGAAACAGCATGTTCTAGGTATCTGGCTCCTCCTGAATAGGGAAGGGACAGGAAGAGGGTCTTCTTCCCAGGGGACAATCACAGGGCAAAGATGGAAAGAACAGAGAGTCTCCCAGAATGGAAGACAATATTCAGGAAGCAAAAAGACATTCCAGCCGGGCGCTGGTGGCTCATGCCTGTAATCCTAGCTACTCAGGAGGCTGAGATCTGAGGATCTCGGTTCAAAGCCAGCCCGGGCAGGAAAGACCGTGAGACTCCTATCTCCAATAAACCACCAGAAAACCGGAAGTGGTGCTGTAGCTCAAGTGGTAGAGCGCTCGCCTTGAGCTGAAGAGCTAAGGGACAGCACTCAGGCCCAGAGTTCAAGCCCCACAACCGACAAAAAAAAAAAAAAGACATTCCAGCAGAGAGATGGTCTGGTTATCATCCTCAAACCCTAGACTATGAACAGACACTGATCAGAGAATCAGAAACCTAAGCCCACATCCCACTCCTTTGCCACCCAGCTAGGCATGTGACGAGTATCACACCTGTAAAACAGGAGTGAAGTCACACAAGGCTGAGCTCTGAGGACCCTGGGCAGCATTAGTAAACCCCACAGCAATGTGTCAGTCTCTCCAGTTAACAACCCACCCTGATGCTCCAAGGACCTCCTACTTCAACACTTTAGGCTTGCTGGACCCCAAGGGCACCTCTGGATGCTCTAGCAAGCTCTTGAGTTTCTTGGCTCATTCATTAGGCCCTGCAGCCCCTAGCATGACATGGTTCTGGGTCAGATATCCTCAGCTGTGACTCATCCTCTTGTAAGCATTTTCCAGTCCCCTTTAAAAAAAACATTTTTTCCCCATGAGATAATATATGTCAGTATGTTGCCAAGCTGGTCTTGAACTCCTGGCTCAAATGATCCTCTTAGCTTCCCAAGTAGCTGGGGGTGGGAGTTGGGGGTTGGCCTTAGCTCAAGCAGTTGTCTCTTCATGGTGCACTTTCAGCCAAGTAGCTAGGACTTGAACCAGCTTTGTACTGTTTTTATTTTGCTTCAAGCTAAAGAGAAAGAGGACTATGTGGAGAAGCTAAGCCTATTTATGATACCCACAGGCTCCTGTACAGGGAGATGTGAAAGTGGGTGGTTTCTTTGGGGAGGGAAGGAACAGAGGGCATTGTGAATACTGTTCTACTCCACTGCTGGGATGAACAAATCTTGAGATTTGTTCCTGGCACTCTCTAGCTCAGCCTAGACATT